AAGATTTTGGGTTCCTCTCAATTTTTTGGGTTCCACTCAAGATTTTGGGTTCTACTCAAGATTTTTGAGGTCTTTGTCCCTTGTGATGTTTGGGGTCCCCTCGGGCCCCAAAATCCACCCCCGGGGCCGCCCAGGTCCCACCAAGAATTGGGGTTCCCCGAGACGTTGAGTTTCCCTCAAGATTTTGGGTTCCTCTCAATTTTTTGGGTTCCACTCAAGATTTTGGGTTCTCAAGACTCTTGGGGTCCCTTTCTGGGTTTTTGGGTTTCCATCAACAGGTCTGGGGTCCCCTCAGGCCCCAAAATCCACCCCCGGGGCCGCCCAGGTCACCCCAAGAATTTGGGTCCCCAGGATGTTGGGTTTCCCTCAAGATTTTTGGGTTTCCCCTTAAGTTTTTGGGTTCCCCTTCAAGATTTTTGGGTTTCCCTCAAGATTTTTGGGTTTCCCCTTAAGTTTTTGGGTTCCCCTTCAAGATTTTTGGGTTCTACTCAAGATTTTTGAGGTACTTCCAGGTTTCAGGGCCCCTCGTGACGTTTGGGGTCCCCTCGGGCCCCGAAATCCACCCCCAGGTCCCCCCAGGTCCCACCAAATCCCCCAAGAATTTGGGTTCCCCAAGACGTTGAGTTTCCCTCAAGTTTTTTGGGTTCCCCTTCAGGATTTTTGGGTTTCCCCCTCAACGTTTTGGGTTCCACTCAAGATTTTTGAGGTCCTTCCAGGTTTTGGGGTCCCTCGTGACGTTTGGGGTCCCCTCGGGCCCCGAAATCCACCCCCGGGTCCGCCCAGGTCCCACAAGAATTCGGGTTCTCTGAGACTTCAATGTTTTCGAGTTCCCTCAAGTTTTTGGGTTCCTCTTCAAGATTTTTGGGTTCCACTCAAGATTTTTGGGTTCCACTCAAGATTTTTGAGATCCTCCTCCCTCGTGACATTTGGGGTCCCCTTGGGCCCCAAAATCCACCCCCGGGTCCGCCCAGTTCCCACAAGAATTCGGGTTCCCCGAGATGTTGAGTTTCCCTCAAGTTTTTGGGTTCCTCTCAAGGTTTTTGGGGTCTCTCCAGGGGTTTTGGGGCGTTTCCCTCCGGGTTTTTGGGGTTCCCCCCAGGGGGTTTTGGGGGCATTTCCCACCAGGTTTTTGGGGCGTTTCCCACCAGGTTTTTGAGGTCCCCTTGGGGGTTTTTTAGGGGTTCCCCCCGGGGGTTTTCAGGGCGTTTCCCACCAGGTTTTTGGGGTGTTTCCCACCGGGTTTTTGGGGTCCCCCCGGGGCTTTTTGGGGCATTTCCCAACAGGTTTTTTTGGGGTCTCCCCCGGGGTTTTTGGGGCCTTTCCCGCCGGGTTTTTGGGGTTCCCCCCGGGGGTTTTTGGGGTGTTTCCCGCCGTGTTTTTGGGGCATTTCCCGCCAGGTTTTTTGGGGTTCCCCCCGGGTGTTTTTGGGGTCCCCCCGAGGGTTTTTGGGGCATTTCCTGCTGGGGTTTTTGGGGCGTTTCCCGCCGGGATTTTTGGGGTTCCCCCGGGGGTTTTTGGGGTGTTTCCCGCTGGGTTTTTGGGGTCCCTCCCCTGTGGTTTTTGGGGTATTTCCCACCAGGTTTTTGGGGATCCCCCCAGGGGTTTTTGGGGGCATTTCCCACCAGGTTTTTGGGTTCCCCCTGAGGGTTTTTGGGCCGTTTCCCATCAGATTTTTTAGGGGTCCTCACAGGGGTTTTTGGGGCGTTTCCCACCAGGTTTTTGGGGCCCCCCTGGGAGTTTTTGGGGGCATTTCCTGCTGGGGTTTTTTGGGTGTTTCCCGATGGATTTTTTGGGGCATTTCCCGCCAGGTTTTTGGGGCGTTTCCTGCTGGGGTTTTTTGGGTTCCCCTCAGGTTTTTGGGGTTCCCCCCGGGTGTTTTCGGGGTCCCCCCTCACCGCGGGGCCGGGGTAGGGCCGGAGGTCGCAGCTCTCCCTCCAGGACATGTTGAGGCTCCGCACGAACTCGCCGTAGAACCGGTGGCTCGTGTTGAACATCGAGAACCCCAAAACCGTGGCCGGGGGGGCCGGGAGGGACTCCAGGTGCAGCAGGGGGAAGTCCTGGGGGGTCACACGGGGGTCAAGGGGTCACTCAGGGGTCAGGGGGGGTCACTGGGTAAGGGGGGGCTGGGAGGGACTCCAGGGGGAGAAGGGGGAAGTCCTGGGGGTCACACAGGGGTCACAGGGGGGTCACGGGGTCACACAGGGGCCATTGGGGTCACTCAGGGGTCATGGGAAGTCATGGGGGGGTCATGGGGGGGTCACTGGGAAGGGGGGGGGGCCGGGGAAAGCCCTGGGGTCACGTGGGGGTCATTGAGGTCACTCGGGGGGTCATTGGGGTCACCCAGAGGTCACCCAGGGGTCACTCAGGGGGGTCACCCAAAGGTTGGGGATCACCCCGGGGTCAGGGGTTGGTGGGGGGGTCACCCTGGGGTCAAGGGGTCACATTAGGGTCAGGAGGCACTCAGGGGTCATTCAGGGGTCAGGGGTCAGCCCGGGGTCATCTCGGGGTCAGGGGTCAGGGCTCACCATGGTGGTCAGGATGTATTTGTAGAACGTCGACGTCATCCCGAGCTCCGAGGCCTGGGGGGGGGGATTTGGGGGGGATTGGGGGGGTCCCCAACACCCAAATCCCCCAAAACACCCCAAAATCCCCCTAAAATCCCCCTAAACTCCCCTCTCCAGACCCCCCAAGGCCCTGAGACCCCCCCTTGAGCCTCACAAGCCCCCCCAAATCCCCCCTCAAACCCCACAGAACCCCCATTCCTGTCCTCTCTCCAACCCCCAAATCCCCCCCGAATCCCCCCAAAATCCCCTCAAATCCCCCCCAAACCCCCCGACCCCGACCCCCTCAAAGCCCCCAGACCTCCCCTTGAACCTCCCAAGCCCCCCCAGCCCTTCCTGAGCCCCCCCCAAAGGCCCCTCAAACCCCACAGAACTCTCATTCCCGGCTCCCCTCCGACCCCAAATCCCCCCAAATCCCTCCCACAAAAACCCCAAACCCCCCTCAAATCCCCCCAAATCCCCTCTAGCCCCCCCCAAACTAAACAAGGTGTCCCCGAATCCCCCCAAACCCCCCCCAAACCCCTCTGAAAATCCCTTAAAAACCCCAAATCCCCCCAACCCCCCCCTAAAAATCCCCTA